AAAAAAAAAAAAAAAAAAAAAAAAAAAGCTTAAAAATTAAAGTTGCATACTAAAAAAACATGAAATTATTTTTTTAAAGCACCCCCCATACACGCACCTACAAACACAAATACAGCCTACACCCTATAGACCAAAAGGACAGAGCTGGGCAAAGAAAGCTATGACTTGTATCAGCAAAGATTAGGAAAACCAAATCTGATTTCTTACATTGTGTATTGTATAATAAAAAATATAATCCCACCTTCTCACCACCGTTGCCATGTATAGCACACACTAGTGCCATCACACGATCCGACTCCCACCCCCCTTCTTCTTCTTTTTTTTTTTTCTCGCTCTTCCCTCCCTCCCTCTTCTGACCTCCAAACACCCTGACGTAACCTCATCTGAACCTGCGTGTACCCCCCTACCCTCTGTTGTCCTGTCTGTGTTGTGTGGTGTCGTTGTCCATTGTCCTACTGAGTCGCGTTAGTGGTAGTTTATCTACTGACACCTCCGGAAGCCACGAGGTCTTGAGTACTACTGAAGGTACTTGACATACATCCTGTTAGCCTCTTAGCATAATATCTTCGGTGCTGAATGCTTTAATATCCCAAATATAAAGACAGTAACCATGAAAGGATATAGACTGAATATTAAATTGCAAGAATATATACTAAATATAACTAATCTAATACCCCCTGAAGTCCTCTGTCTCCCCAGATCTAATGCCATACAATATGATTACCTCGAAATCTGTAACCACCCCATACATATGTATCACGATGTACCTACATAATACTGCTACATGTTCTACTACCAAGATAATGGTCTGCTCACCATGTTGTGTAATGTTTCATTCTGTTGGATGTACTGTGTGTTTAAAACAATAAAAACATTTATATGGGAAAAAAAAATATAATCCCTGCACTATGATTGGATGGTTCACTTTTAACACAGCTATAATTTAATTTCACAGAAATGAACGTTCCAATCATCGTTTTTGTCTTTTTATCTTCATGTCCTGCAGGTCTACACTTGTCAGTAAGGAGCCGGACAGCATGCTGTCGCACATGTTCAGTAACAGAGGTCGGTAATGCTTTGTGGAATGCTGTTATACAAAACATGTTTGTGTCATTCTGTCACATTTCTCTTTACTTCCTTCTATTAGTCCAGGGCTGTGTAGGGCACTGCACATGTAGTCCAGGGGTGTGTAGGGCACTGCACATGTAGTCCAGGTGTGTTTAGGGCACTGCACATGTAGTCCAGGGGTGTGTAGGGCACTGCACATGTAGTCCAGGGGTGTGTAGGGCACTGCACATGTAGTCCAGGGGTGTGTAGGGCACTGCACATGTAGTCCAGGGCTGTGTAGGGCACTGCACATGTAGTCCAGGGCTGTGTAGGGCACTGCACATGTAGTCCAGGGCTGTGTAGGGCACTGCACATGTAGGCCTGCTCTACTATTTCTAACAGGGTTGTTCTTTTTTTTTAAAGCTGCGTGGCCAAGTTATGTCCTTCTGCAGCATCTTCACTGAGCTCTAGTCAAAGCTGATGTCAGACAGCCAGGACATCATAATCCGAACCTGAACTCAAGCACTCATTTATTTTCCCAACACTTGTAGCAAGTCCTCTCCTGTGTTAAAACTAGGGATGCACCGATACCGATACTAGTATCGATATCAGTGCCGATACCGAGTATTTGGGCGAGTAATCGTACTCGGCCAAATGCTCGGATGCCTAGCACGAGTACTTCCTGTATCAGTAAGCCGGGCAGCGCGTCATTACATGCTGCCCGGTTTCCTGATTGGCCGGGAAACGGCTCCATGCTCTCTCGTCACTTGTGATGAGAGAGCATGGAGCCGACTTCCCTGCCAATCAGGAAGCTGGGCAGCGTGTAATGACGCGCTACCCAGCTTCCTGAATGGTCGGGAAGCTGGCCAACAGTAAGCCGGTTGCCGTGCAATGGCGCAGCGCCAGGCATCCTGATTGGCCGGGAAGCTGGCTTCATGCTCCCTCGTCATCTCATGACGAGGGAGCATAGAGCCGGCCAATCAGAAAGCAGGGCGTCGTGTCATTACATGGCGCCCGGCTTCCTGATTGGCCAGCCAGACGGCTCCGGCTGGGTACCGGAGGAAGGCCGCGTTCTGGCTGGAGAGGCCCCGGGGGTGACAGGCTGGACATACCAAGTAGGGATGTCCAGATACCGATACTAGTATCGGTATCGGGGCCGATACCAGGCATTTTCACAAGTACTTGTACTTGTGAAAATGCCCTGATACTTAAGGCAGATACCGGTAAATTTTTAAACCGCAGCAGCTGCTGAGCACCTGCGCTTGTGGGAACCTTAGCAGCTTGCTGGTGACCTGAAAGTAGGTGTCCTTGGCAGTGCCTACCTGGTTCTTTATCTCCTCCTCCTTCCCGGCGCAGGCACAGCCATGGAGAGCCCCACTGGCAGAACTACCGGCGGTGCAGCCGGAATGCCCGCCGTGTCCAAAGCTGGGGGATCCCGATGCCTACTGACAGGGGAGGACTGGGCCAGGAGGCAATTGGGGGTCTGGTCAGGGGGCCGGGGGCCCACCAACGGAGAAGATGGAAGCCGGGGGCCCAGCAGTGGAAAGGATGTAGGTCAGCTCCCAGCAGCGGAGATGGTCTGCCGGTGGAAGAGGCTGGGGCCCAGCATCGCTGGTCCAGGCGTGGAGGAGGCCAGGTCCCAGCATCGCCGATAAGGTGGAGTGCCCCCAGAGCCACTGCAGAAATCCATATGTCACCCGGGTGATATCAACACACAGCCTGGTGAGATTAATTCTGCTTTGGAAACTTGTATTCTCAGAATACATGTCACCAAAGCAGAATACTAGTCTGCCTTGGGGACATGTGTTCTGCTTTGGGGACATGTATTCTCGGAAAACATGTCCCCAAAGCAGAATACATGTCCACAAAGCAGAATACTATTCTGCCTTGGGGACATGTGTACTGCTTTGGGTCATGTGTCCTGCTTAGGGGAAATGTATTCAGTCCTGGTGACATCTGTATTTAGCCCTGGTGAGAAACTTCCCTAAAATAATCAGTCTGTGTTTTAGAAAAAATGGATAAAGGTATATCACTAGCACACCAATCAAAGGATTTCAGCAAAAGTCCATTTTAATGACAAATGCCATTCAAAATACGAGCACCCGCCTGTATATACAGGACATCTATTGATCCAGTATGGAGTGCAGCAGGATACTCTCTTCAGTTTTAGAAAAAATGTCATGTCCCTTTAAGAAAAAGTATTGGTATCGACAAGTACCTGCGGGAAAGTACTTGTACTTGGTCTTAAAAAAGTGGCATCGGGACATCCTAATACCAAGGTAAGAGGTGACAGACTTTCTTGTTAATCGGGAAGCCTGGTGGCGATTGTTTACACGCTGCCCGGCTAATCAGGAAGCCAGGTGGCGAGTCATTACACGCCACCTGGCTTCCTGAATGGGACTTCCGTTACTCGGTAATTGGTATCGGCGAGTACCGAAAAAAAAATGATCGGTACTCGGTACCAAAATACCGGTATCGGTGCATCCCTAGTTAAAACTAATGACTCTCCATTGCCTGCAAACTTCCATCTTCATAGTATAACCTGTTGAAGCAGACCGAAAATATGAAATATGTGCTGAGGCAAATGCAGGGTATGTTGATTTCTGGTCTCCTTAAAAAATACCATTTGCCTGGTTCTCAGGCTGACCCTTTGTCTAGAACACAAAGTGGGTTATTCACAAAAGGGTGAAGAGTTTGGAGAAGGCCGGAGAAGTGAACAATCTAGGACAGGGGTGCCCACAAGGTCGATGGCGATCTACCAGTCGATCGCGTAGCGATCACTGGTAGATCGCCATGTCCTCTCCTCCCGCCGCTTCTCTGGATCGCCGCTGCTCTCCCCGGCGGGGATCCGAGAAGACGTGAAGGAACCGGCGGCGAAGGACAGAGCCGCTGTCACTATAATGCAGAGCAGTGAGGAGAGAGAGACGCTCGGCCAGGATCTGACAGCCGGCGCCTCTCTCTCCCCTCACTGCTCGTCCGTTCTGTCGCAGCGGTAAGCAGGCCGACTCCCTGTGTTCAGGTGCGGGAGGGGGTGTGGAACTGTATTGAAGTCAATGGCATCGCCCACAGTGCGATCGCCTGCACTCGGAACGCAGGCACATTAGTGCCTGCATTGCGGTCCAGTGCGATCTGCAAAAATAGTGCTCGCAGCATTTTTGCGGCTCGCACTGGACTGGAACACAGGCACTAATGCAGGCGATCGCACTGTGGGCGAGGGGCCTGCCTGCGCAGCCCACGCCCCCTCCCGCCCCTGAATGCAGGTGTTTTTTCGTTGGTAGATCTCAATGAGCTCGTCATTTGAAAAGTAGATCTCCAGACGGAAAATAGTGGGCGCCCCTTATCTAGGACAACAAAGCTGAACTGGAAAGTGAGCTGAATTGCAGAATTTTTCCAAATCAGATATTTTGTCCTAGATTGTTCACTTCTCCTTCCTGCCTTCTCCAAATTCTTCACCCTTTTGTGAATAACTGAAAGTCATAGAAGAAATATGCAGCAGATAAAGTGACGTGAACTATTAAGACTGGCTTGTGTCTGTCATTCAACGTACAATGTCCTTTGCTTCCCAGATGCCTGGGGCAATAAGAGAGATCCCAGAGGTGCTTTCCTTATTGACCGCAGCCCGGAATACTTTGAGCCCATACTGAACTACCTGCGCCATGGTCAGCTCATCGTCAATGACGGGGTCAATTTGTTGGGTGAGCTCTGTGAGATATGCTTCTATAATAATTGTATAATAATTTGTGTCTGGCAGAAGAAACTAAACTGATTTTTCTTACAGGAGTCTTAGAGGAAGCCAAGTTCTTTGGCATAGATTCCCTCATTGAACATCTGGAGCTGGCAATTAAGGTAATGGATATGCTAATTGTGACAATCTATGGACATGTTACATGTGGAGCTTTTACTAAACCTCGTATCTGCCCAGCAATGTGAACCCAAAAACATATATGTAATATATCGCACCTAACCAGTCTATAGTCTAGTGGCTACATTAGGTTTGTTTTCTATTCTCTTTTCTTCTTTATTCTCTTCTTCTTTTCTTCTTTATTCTCTTCTTCTTTTCTTCTTTATTCTCTTTTTTTCCCTTCTCCTTTATTCTCTTCTCCTGTTATTCTCTTCTCTTTTCTTTTTTTATTCTCTTTTCTCCTTTATTCTCTTTTCTTCTTCTTCTTTATTCTCTTTTCTTCTTCTTCTTTATTCTCTTCTTTCCTTTTTTTTTTTTTTTTCCTTTTATCTTTCCTTTCCTTTTCCTTTCTTTGTGATCCTGCCAGTAACACACTTTTTGTCATAAGGTGACTATGCTCACTCACCATACTGTATTCACGGAGGAGCCGCATAGTCACTTTAGGAAAAGAAGTAATTAGTTTAAAGTGATAATAAACTCAGAAGGTAAATCTTAAAAATACATTCAAGTACTTTTACAACTATTAACAAAAATGTATCTTATTTGTGTATCACTCGGCTGTAGATCCTCAAATCATCTCTGAATTGGTGCTGATACTGTCCATCCTTCTGGAGAGTGACTACTTTTGTTCCCCATGGTCCCTGTGTGTGTGTGTGTTTTGTAAAGTAGCTCAACCCGGGAGGGACTACAATTTCAATACAAATGAGTAAACTGAACATGAAGTTGTAGTCCATCATAGGGGCGAGCTTGGAGCGGTGACTACATTACACACACAGGGACCATGGGGAACAAAAGTAGCCACCCTCCAGAAGGAAGGACAGTGTCAGCACCAATTCAGAGATGATTGGAGGATCTACAGCCGAGTGATACACAAATAAGATACATTTTTGTTAATAGTTCAGGGAATTGAATGCATTTTTAAGGTTTAAATCCTAAGTTTAGTGTCACTTTAAATCTATGCATGTGAAATTGGCTTGCATATAAGCAAAACTTTGGGTTATTATTATAAAGGATTTATCTAGTGCTAGCAGTTTGCGCAGCGCTTTACAATATACCGTATTTTTTGCTCCATAAGACGCACTTTTTTCCCCCCAAAAGGAGGGGTAAAATGTGCCTGCGTCTTATGGAGCGAATCCCGATGCCCGAGACATGCGGTTTCAGGCGCCGGGTGAGTAGTAGGAGCCACTGCTCGTTTAATACGAGTGATCTAATGAGATCACTCGTATTAAAACCGAGCGGCGACGATCGAGATCACCATAGAGCAGACGAAGAACGGACATTCTTCGTCTACTCTGTGTGATCACTGAGACCGTGGCGCTGTAATCACAACGCCACTTGTCTCAGCGGTCACTAACTGCAGCTTCTGTCACAGTCTGTCGAGTGCTCCATAAGGCGCGCCGGACCTCCCTGCGTCCTATGGTCCGGTGCGTCTTATGGACCGCAAAATACGGTAAGAAGAACATTACAATGAAAATACAATTCAAGACAAGATGGTAAGGAGGGCCCTGCCCCTGAGGGCTTACAATCTAAAAGTTAAGCATGCATGTCTGTGCACTGAGCAGACACCGCAAGGGAACAGCATAACTAATTTCTGAATAACTAATTTCTCTGCCGTTCACAAGACATCTCACACCTATGGACAGCATCAGAGGGCCAACTGGCTTTCAGGATTGTCTCTGCTGTAGGTAATGTTTATATATTAGAAGCATGCTCCCATTATGTCTGGTAACGTCATGTTTTGTACTATAGAATTCTCAGCCTGCTGAGGACCACTCCCCCATATCTCGTAAGGAGTTCATACGTTTCCTTCTCGCCACCCCAACCAAATCTGAACTTCGCTGTCAGGTGAGTTAGAGGGATCAAAGAAATCTTAAACTTGCTGATCTGCTCCAGCTTTGGTGAAACTAGGAATTAGTCTTGTAATGCCTAATGGGATTTGTAGTTGCATTACAGCTGGAAGGTCAGTGTTTGCCCACCCCTGCATTTCTGCATTTGTATGTCAAAGTTAGTGTATAGTCTGTGTACATCTATATATACCAGACTAATACAAGCAATACTAATAGGCCAAGAATGCTGTAGCAAGATAAAGTAACAAACAGGACATTATGTGTACATCTGTCCTTTAAATGTGGTTCTGAATCTCTATCTGACTTCTTTACAGGGTCTAAACTTTAGCGGAGCCGATCTCTCCCGCTTGGACATGCGGTATATAAACTTCAAGATGGCAAACTTGAGCGGCTGCAACCTAATTCAGGCCAACCTGTGTGGGGCTTGCCTGGAGCGAGCAGACCTGTCAGGATGTGTACTGGATGTAAGGATGGCTCTGAATATTTGTAGAGGGATGGAAAACAAATGATTGTCTGTGTTAGATTATGTCCATTTAAATTCCATTTTTCATTGTTTGATTTCTTTTGTTCATTCTTTACAATTCTGCTACACACACACACACACATGACCAGTTTATTTTTGTAATTGTATTTTAACACAGTATATTGTACAATCGGATTTGAATGCATATGGCCGCCACAAGGGAATTTCTTTTAAAGGCTCTTTCATCCATAGTATCCAGTCAGGCACTGGCAGACCTGAACCACATAAAAATGATCATTAAACCTACCTTAGCACCAGGCAAAGCCTGGCAAACAATGAATCAGTCTAGCAGTCATGCAACACCACCCCCGTCCCCATCCCCATTGCACTGTGCAACCCTTTGTGCAAAGTTAACCACTTGAGTCTAGGGCTGCAGCTGATGATGATTTTCATAATCGATTAGTCACCCGATTATTTTTTCAACTAATTGGTTGTATAAAAAGAAATCTCTCTCTCCCTCTTTCTCTCTCCCCTCCCCCCTCTCTCTCTCTCCTCCCCCCTCACTCTAAATCTATGAGAATAGTTGCCAACTATTCTCATAGATTTAGTTGATTAGTTGTTGCAGCTCTACTTTAGTCCCAGGTGCCATTTTCAAATATTTGTGTCATTTTATAATGGCATCTGGGCTCAACTGATCCTTCAAGACCCCTCCAGTAGTAACCCTAAAACCGCCATCCAGCAGTAAGTCTAAGACAGCAATCAGATCCGGGGCTTCCAATCTTGCTACACAGTGTTCCAATGGAGCGCTTTTAAAAGATGAATGTAAGCGCAATGCTTCTGCACTGCGTGTACATTGAAAGTGATTTGACGTCCTAGCTGTCATGAAAAAAAGATGTGTAATAGGTTGGAGTAGGCTACAAATACGTTCTATATGTTTTCTGGCTGGGAATCTAACTGAGAACCCCAGTGCTGCAAGGCAGAATTGTTAACCACTAAGCCTTCTGCCTTGCAGCATTGAGGTCCTTGGTTCAAATCCCGGCCAGGGCACCATGTGCATGGAATTTGCTTGTTCTTCCTATGTTTTTATGGGTTTCCTCTGGGTACTACAGTCACCTCCCGAACTCCAAAGACATGCTGGTAGGTTAGTTGGCTCCTGTCTGGATTTGACCTGTGCGGGCGGGTATGGCACCTTTTAGACTAAATTATTTCTAAATCTAAACAAACTCAATGTGTCCTGTAGTAAACCATTCAGATGCTCTAATTGTTTCTTCCAATTTCTTTTGCAGGGAGCCAATCTGCAGGGCGTGAAGATGCTCTGCTCCAATGCGGAAGGAGCCTCCCTGAAAGGATGTAACTTTGAGGACCCGTCCGGCCTAAAAGCCAATCTGGAAGGTCAGAGGCAGAACAATAATACAATTGGCAGTATCCGAAAAAGAGCAAATATTCCGGTGTCCCGTTATCTTATGAAACTATTCACCATAGGTCAGACATATTATAACTTTCTTTCTGTGTTTTGTTTTTTTTCCATCCATTAGGAGCAAATCTAAAGGGTGTGGACATGGAGGGCAGTCAGATGACTGGGATAAACCTACGAGTCGCCACCCTGAAAAATGCCAAATTAAAGAACTGCAATCTGCGTGGTGCTACCTTGGCAGGAACAGACTTGGAGGTGAGAAGGTCATACACATACATATACACTTTATGGACAAAGGTTTGTGGACACCTGACCATCACACCCATTTGAGCTGCTTAGACCTCTCATTCCAAAACCATGGACACTAAAGCGTATCTAAACTCAAAAACAAAAATGTAATATATTGCAGCGTACTACTTCTTAGATGTGGTGGCTGCACTGCATTGCTTTTTTTCAGGCTTTTTTTTTTTTTTGAACTTTATTTAACCTGGTGATCTTGTGACACACTTCCTGTCCAAGCGTGACAACACACTCCCTTTCGTATCGGAACAAGAGAAATAAGATGGGAAAGAAAGATTCCGGCTGCACTCCGTTCCACGCTGAATCAGTTTATTGAACATTTGTCAGTGACACTGAGTCCTGCCCTACCTGGCGCACCTCGGGCCGGACTCAGTGTCACTGATGATTTTCAATAAACTGATTCAGCGTGGAACGGAGTGCAGCTGGATTCTTCATGTTCGGTTGGAGCGAGGACACACTCCTGCAGGCGAGAACCCGGCTGTCTTTCTCATGCTAAAGCTGAGGAGGAGTGGCTCTTTATTCCCATGCCTTAAACTGGCCATACAACTATAGATTATCTGCAGATTTTCTATGGTCAGACGGAAAAAGTGCAACAGATTCCCAGTGGGAGAGTCCTCCATCCATACAGTTCAGCGTAGATGGAGGAATCTGTGGCACTTTTTCCATCTGACCATAGAAAATCTGCAGATAATCTATAGGTGTGTGGCCAGCTTCAGAGAAATAAGATAGGACCATGGAAACCTCATGTGTCTTCTACTCTACATGACATAGATGGACAAGGTTCTCTAGTCCTCAGAGATAGCTGAGAACAATATAATTGATAACAGGCAGAGTGCAGAAAGCTATCGGCTCACAATATTTTTGGCAGGATCAACAGGTATTTTTTTTAAATATCAAAGCAAAAAAAAAAAACAACACTTTCAATTGTATATTTAACAGAACAAAAGAGAGCAATTAGGAGTTAATTCTTGGGATTACATAGACTTTAATATAGAGTAGTGTTGAGGTCAGGGCTCTGTGCTGGCCCCATGAGTTCCTCCACACCAAACTCCTTATACCATGTCTATATGGAGCTGGCTCTGTACACAGTAATGCTGGAACAGAAAGGGTCCTACCACAAACTGTATCGACAAGGTCGACCAAAATGTTTTTGTAGTCTGTCGAATTTACAGTACCCTTCACTGAAAAAGAAACGTATTTAGTGTAACATGGATGGGTGCAATAAGATGATGGGCCAAGCTGCAGCAATACCAGGAACTGAAAGATTTATAAATGCGGAATGAAAGGAAGAGCGGAGGGGATTCCCAACACTTCAGATCAGATGGCAGCTGTCATTTTTCTGACACTGCTTGTAAACTGATAACGCAATTTGCTTTGGCTACCGCGCTTTGTAAAATTCTCAGGTGATCTCCGAGTATTCTAATACAACTATTCCAAGAATGTGCTTTTGCAGGTCAGAGATTCTTAACTCGACTTACCAACATGACTCTGCTGTCTAATTTTACCAATCATGGAGACCATTTAAACAGAAAAAAGCTCACTTCCACCCCCTCCCTGGGTGCTGGAAAACATAGAAGAATGACTGAAGAAAAAGACCAGGTGGTCCATCATGTCTGCCCCTTTCTTACATTTTTCTTTAAACCTTTGTGTCCGAGTCTCAAACATGTTTCCATGTGCTTGCTGTTGACTGACTCCCTACGTTTGCTGGAAGTTCCAGCTACTTTAAAATCTTTTGGATGCTGAGATTTCTTCGATGCAGGAGACCATATGGAACTCTGTCACCCATTGTCTGGAAAACATCCTCTCCAGGGGCGTAACTAGAAATCACAGGGCCCCATAGCAAAATTTTGTATGGGGCCCCGTGATTGCTAGTTATGCCACTTGCAGAGCCCACCTGATATACCAAACAGCACCTGAGAGTGACCCTGCAGAGCCCACCATAGACTCTCTATTGTGGGCTCTGGAGGGTCTCAGATGGGCTGCACACCTCTTTCCTGTCAGCACTGTCCGCCTCTGTGGTCGCCGGGCCCCGCCTCCTCTTACATCACTGGCCCCACCTGCTCTTAGGTCGCTGGCCAGTGATGTAAGAGGAGGCGGGGTTGCTCTTAGGCGGGCCCCGCCTCCTCCACTGCGAACACTGGCCTCTTCTGCTGCAGCTGCTGGCTGTCACTGACACAGCTCCGCAGCGGCTGTGAGGGGAAACCCACAGCGGCCATTGCACACATCACTGACTGTGTCAGGGACAGCCAGCACCCTTACATGCCATAGCGGCCCACACGGCATCAGAGGGATGCCCTGGCCGGGCCCCCCTTTGTCCGGGCCCTATTGCGGCCACCTGGGTCGCTATGGGGATTGTTACGCCCCTGATCCTCTCTGCATGGTTTTAAAAGCAGACTTGAGATATATCTATTCTCCCCAGCTTATAGCCACACCTAAAGAATTCTCTTTAATGATGAGTCCTTTGAGTCTCTAGGGAGTTAGGCTCTTTAGAAATTATTATTATTATTTTGCTAAGATAATTCTTTCCAAGGTTAATGATGGACTCTCCTCCTGCTAGTTTGAGGTCATGTTACCCATGTTTGGATCTTCTCTTCATACTAAAAATATTGCCCTCTTGAACCTTATGCATACCCTAATATATTTAGGTTTCAGTCATGTCCACCCTTTTCCCTTCTTTCCTCAAGACTGGACATATTAAGTTCCTGCAGTCTCTTCTGATATGTTTCATTCCTCAGATCTATCGCCAATTTTGTTGCCCATCTCTGGACTTTTAAGTGAGGTCTCCAGAACTGGACACCGTATTCTAAATGAGTTCTAAATAATCTTTATAGGGGAACCAGGACCTCCTTCCTCCTGCTGGGGATCCCTCTAGTGATAACTAAAGATCTATATAGAGGAATCAGGACCTCCTTCCTCCTGCTGGGGATCCCTCTAGTGATAGCTAAAGATCTATATAGAGGAATCAGGACCTCCTTCCTCCTGCTGGAGATCCCTCTAGTGATAATAAAGATCTATATAGAGGGGAATTAGGACCTCCTGCTGGGGATCCCTCTAGTGATAACTAAAGATCTATATAGAGGGGAATCAGGACCTCCTTCCTCCTGCTGGGGATCCCTCTAGTGATAATAAAGATCTATATAGAGGAATCAGGACCTCCTTCCTCCTGCTGGAGATCCCTCTAGTGATAATAAAGATCTATATAGGGGAATCAGGACCTCCTGCTGGAGAACCCTCTAGTGATAAATAGCTAGATATTGAAATCAGGACCTCCCAGCTCCTTCAATTGATGCACCCCTGTGTTCTATGGGGTCCTGGCCAGTCCCATGGCTGCCTGAATACAATGGCACTGCTGAACACTAACTTCGTCTGATAGGATGCAGTCACTTTTCAGGGAATATTTTTTCACCCAACTTAATTAATTTTTAAATCAACTTTTGTTGAGTCAGGTGGTGCTTGCAGGGCCACTCAAGGCTTACATTTCAGCAGGAATTGGCCAATATGTGAGCGGTCTCTGGGGGCCTTTAGACTCCAAACTTTCTTTGTTAATCGATGACTATCACCATACAATACTCTACTAATGTTCTCAATTGATTTGTGTTGTTGTACTTTTGTTTCCTGAAGTCATTACTTGTATTTCTCTACCTTCCCTAACAGAACTGCGATCTCTCTGGTTGTGACCTCCAAGAAGCGAACCTGCGGGGATCCAATGTAAAAGGCGCAATATTTGAGGAGATGCTCACACCACTACATATGTCCCAGAGCGTCAGATAGACACTCGTATGGAGGAAGACTCGCGTCTCCGATTGCTGGCATACTGGAGACGCTCTGCCTTTTGCCTTTACTGCCAGTGCAGACATATAATCTCTATACCGTAATCACCTACTTTAATCTCTTGGTAACGTGCACGGAGGACACACGTCTACTGTGTTACATACATGTAGCTCATATTATATACACACAAACCTGCTTCAGATGTAGGGCATAGGAGAACTGGAGGAGTTTGCACACCTCTGCCGTGATATATTAAGATTGCGGTTGTTGTACCAGACTGGCAGGATAGTGTAGTATGGGGTCCTATTGGACCGCCAAAAAGGCCTGACGAATATCACTGACATATTAGACAAGGGCTTCAAGATGATGACTTTTACTCCTTGCTTATACTTTATTTGACAGCTGCTGGTGGAGTTAAAAGTCATTTTCTATTGGCTGTTACATAGTCACCAGGCTGCATTGTAACCATTCCAAGGTATTGCCAAGCAAACCTTTAATCTATGCACACGTGATTCAAATTGTGTAGCACAAATGATTGTGGATGTGTATAGGAAAGAGTTAATTGGCAAGCTGGTTGGACCAGCTTTGGGCAGCCGTTGTCTCTCTGCTAGGCTACAAGTCCCAGCTGGCACATTAAGGCCTTGTAGTTCATCAGCTGCTAGAGGGTCATATGTTGTCCTTGCTGTTCTAGACTGAGTGGGATTAGACTGGCTACCCAAAGCCATGTAGCTCATATTGGTGGTAGATTAGACCTGTCATATCTGTATAGCCCCTTGTCCTGGGTTCCAGTTACTTATCACGGAGGTGCTGGGCCTGCTGCAGGTCAGGGGTTACCGAGTGCCTTAAAGCAGCTGTCATGGCTGCTACTGGAGTTATTTAGTTATGCAAATGACAGTATGAAGCGCTGAACTGTTACCCCTTTCCCCTATCTATCTATCTATATATATATATATACAATAAATATTTTTTGACTGATTTTTGCGTACAGTTTCTATAATTATTAAACACTTCAGTACCAGCATGTATATACCCCTGCATTATAAGGCCATCAGGTTTCAGTGCTGTGATGGTTTACTGGTCTTGCAATAGTGTAACCGAATGAATTCTATATCATTTACTTAGACAGATGTCTGTCTAAATAAATGATTTTGGTGGTATTTAATAACTACTGGGATTTTTATTTTACTATATCAAGAAAAAAAAATGAAAACGAATTATAGCTGACTACTCTCTGAAAAAAAATACCCTACAATAATTGGTGGTCAGTGGCACTTTCACCCCCTTCCCATTCGCCAGAGAGGCACACCAAAAAAAAAAGAATCCTGCAATCATTGGTGGCC